AAATGTATCACCTTTAGGAACTATCCTAGTAATAACCCAAGAGGAAGAACCGAGATTATCTATTGGCTATATTTCTAAACAGTCGTCTGCACTCTGTTTAGCAAGTTGATGCTACAGTCACATGAGAAGGTTTCTACAACCCTGCGAGTCCCAGGTTTGGACCAATTGGTCCAGTCTCAGCCAAGCACTGCATTCAAAGAAATACAAATACAACCAGAAAGTATTATAAGTCCATATTCAGCATTTCAAATCTGTCCCGTCTATCAAGGAAACACTAAAGGAGGAGGTAAATTTCTTAATGCATAGCAGACATTTAACAAGTCTCTCTCACCATTACTGCCCCTGTCACTACCCTGCATGTGAATGCCAGCTTGTCTCTTGAGTTGTCTCTTTCCTATTCTCAACTTCCACCCCCAAACACATTCAGTGCCCAGGTCTTTTCTGTCACACTTGCCAGTCTTCCTTGCCTGCTCTTATTAGGTAAATCAAATTTGCCACTCTGTCCTGTTTTGTTTTCATCTCTGCTTCACTCAGTACCCAGACTCCCTCAGGACTGTGTTGCTTCTCACCCTGAATTAGTTCTTTTCTCCCAGGCTACAGGGACCACAGAGGTCTTCTTCCTATTACTTCATGGACTGTATGAATTCCATCCAGCTGGTGACATCATGGCAGGTAAGAGGATAGCTGTGGGAAAGTTGTGTCTGTTGTCATAGTCAAGACCCAAAACCCTCTAGGATCCTTTATGGTAGACAAGGTCACAGGCCTGGCACCTTCTCTGTCTTGTTACCCTCTCAAACAAACCACAACTGCTGGAAAGCATTGCATAATGTGCATACAATGAATAAATGCCATGAATGTCCGGCCAAATCTATCTTTCAGTTTCTCATCATGATCTCTCCCTTGCACCCAGACCTTTGGACGTGCTGTTCCATCCGCTTAAAGTACTCACACTTCTACTTTCCCCTTTCCACCTATTGATCACTTGGTTAACTACTTCTCATTCTTCAGGTCTCAACGTAGATATGCGTCTAGGATGAGAAGTCTGGTCTCAGCAAGTTAGAAATAGGATCTCTGCCTTGGGCTCCCATGGGATTCTGCATATCTGCCAGCAACATCTTGTAATTCTGAGTTTCCTTTTCCCCCTCGTTAGAACCAGTACTCCATGGGGGTAAGGAGCCCAGCTGTCTTTTCTTCTGGGGCCTAACACATAGTAGATGCTCAAAAAATTTTAAAACAGTGTCAAAAGAAAAATTCCTAAAAATTCTGGTTCAGTAAATTAAAAGGAAGAAGAGGTAGTATGGCTTTAACCTTACACACCTTTGAGTGTGAAACACTAAAAAAAAAAAAAAAAAAAGTTTCAGCCTTCCTTCCAAGGAGAAGTCTTTTTCTCTCTGGATAAGTTGCTGCAAGGCAAAATTTCACTCAAAGTTCCTATTAGTGGTTACGTCTGAGATCAAGTTTGCATTACTGAATTTCCCCCAAACTGGTTTCTTTTCTAATAAACTCCAGTTAGGCAATAGCATTTTCCAATTTCAAAGAGTAATAGTGCCTTTGGATTCCATAATGAAGCTACCAACATTTCAAGTACTATCAACTACAAGTTTAAAAAAAAAAAAACGAAGTCAAGAGTTTGTGCCACTGAATTATAATCAGATAATTTATAATGTAATGAAAGAACCATCACTAGGAAGTGAAGATTTAAGAATAATCAAATCCATGTGGCTCTGGAAAATGCTACCAAGGAATAAACTCATATTAGCAAATGGAATAAATTATCATATTTCAACATATTTCTTTCATGGGTCTAGGGCTAATTACAGGACTATAGTTTATTGGAGAATGTGCCTGAGCAAGCAAGGACACAATCAAGGCACACTTAGGCAGAAATCTGCAGCTGAATTAGAAATAAATAAGATGCTACGACACTTAATTTAATAAAAGCCCCAATGGCAGAAGAAACACAAAGAAACAAGTTGATGCTTTCTGTCCAGTAACAAAAAGTGAATCTAGAAAAAGCAAATGTTATTCTAACATTTCAGACACAATCCACTAAATATTTATTATAAATAGGAGTCCAGTAGACAAAGGGTTGCAAAGGAAACACTCAGAAGATAGGTAATGCTACTACCGTAGAGTTTTGAGAGATATTAAAACAAATTTACAATCTAGAGTGTTATCTCTTTTTACCAGGATGAAAAAATAAACCTTACCACCTGAAAATATGCAGCATAAGATGAAGTTTTCCTGGCCTAGGAAAGAAATCAAAGAATGATGGATGTACAACAAAGTCAGTAGTGAATTCCTCTGACCTAGAAAGAGGAATAGCTAACTATATTCCTTTAATTTCAAAATTAGTCTCAGATAAAGAGCTAGAAAAGAAATTGACTCATATATTTGAAAAATCTATTCTCTAAATCTCATCTATTGTTTCAAGGTTGTTTCTCAATTCTTCAGAATGATGATTCAGGGGGAGTTTTGTGTAAAGAATGAGTGTGGCTGAGACATTTACCGCTCATCAAATATCCATGTGTTCCCACCCACCTCCCAGCCCCCTCCCAGTTGCATGTGGTCATGTGACTAGTGCTAGCCAAAGAACTGTGAGGGGAAGTGGAGGTGTCACTTCCAGACTAAGACAGTGGACAGCCTCTAGGCATTTGCCTACAATCTTTGATCTCAAGTCATGGTGACATTGATGTCACTTATTTAGATGCCGAATCATTAGATAGAAGCAGATGAGATCTCTGAGTCAATGTGTGGAAGCAGCCATCCGTAAGGAGCTTGGCTTAAACAAGAAATATACCTTTGTTGTCTTAAATTGAAGAGATTTCAGGGCTAATTTTTGACTGCAGCATAACCCAGCCTATTGTGACTAATCATAAGGGCCAGTCTAAAATGTTCTCTCAAGGTTCTTTCTAACCTAGAGGATTGAGTCATGTGTATCATCTGATGTTCATGAGAAGTTCTGAAGTTCGAAGGGGCCAGTGCTTTGGATGTAGTTCTTTTGTTTGTTGGTTTGGTAGGTTACTTTGGCTTGGTTAAACTGATCAGTCAATTAAAACCTGGAATCCTAATAATGGTCTCAGAGAACTACAGCCTATGAGACTGCATGGTGCACACAGTCTATTCTGCTTACCATTGTATTCACATATGCTAAGCTTAGTATCTGTACAGTATAGGTAACTGCTCAATGAATATTTGCTGAAATAAAATAACTAAACAATTAAAATGACCCATACAAAGATTATGTAGATTGCATAGAGCCCTTCGTCACCCCAAGCGCTCCCTTTGAAAGATGAGGGAGACTTTCCCCTTTCATACAAAAACAGGCTGTAGAAGAAAGTCACTACACTGAATGCATTGGACAGCCTGCTCGTTCCTCAGATATTTATGGAACACTCACTGCGTGCATTATTCTAAGTTTGAGGATAAAACAATAAGTCAGGCAAATATCCTGTCTTCATGGAGACCTGATTTCCTTTTCTTAAGTATCTTTTTTTAAAAACCAGAGTTTGGCCTGTACAAGGAAATTTCCCAGGTATCTAGTTACCTGGTATAAAAGTTAAAGCATGGCAGAAAGTCCATAGTGCAGCAACGTGTAGCCTCAACAAATTCCACTTCCCCAGAGGCCTTGATGACTCACCTGCCTGCCTTGCTTTATCCTTCTGCTGCTTCCCCTTGGACATTCCCACCCCCCTAGTTCTTGTTTGAGCAGATGGTTCCTACCCTCCTGCCTTGCCCAACCTCATTCTTAAGAAATGAGCATTTGTGCTGCTTCCTTCTGAGAGCTTTTCGTGATCTCTTCCTAGGTCCACTCCCTGCTGTTTTCTATCATGGGTGGTTTGGAGATGAACTGCTAACCTGCCCTGTGTTAAACGTCCTCAGCCAGGAGCTCAGAACTTTGAGTATTTTCAAAGGGTTCACCGTGTCTCTAGAGAAATGCTCCCAACAGTCCTAACTGAAGTCGGCACTGAATTGGCCAAAGGACTCAAGAAAAAAGTTTCCTTCCTCCTCGATCTGTTGCTCAGAGCACTGCATGAGACCACACAGAGCAGTATCCAAGCATTGAGCAACACTCAGAAGGGCAGCAGGACAAATGCACAGCTGCTAATGACCCATCTCCTGGCAATGCTTTCCTCCCTCAGCCCCCTCTAGGGTCACCAAACAGCTGTAAATACAAGCTGACCACCCTTAAGGAGTTGGGATGGAGGGAGATTTTCTCCAGTCTCCAGTCCTGCCTTTGCACCTCTGTGGCCTCTCAAATGCTCAGCCAGTATTTTGAGTACACCCAACCTCACCCAGGAGATACATGTCACCCAGAAACATGCGCTCTCCAGAGAGAAGTCTTCCTGACATCATCGGGGCAGTCCTCCTCCACCTCCTCCTCTTCCCAGATCTTTGTTCTGCAAATTAATGCCATCCAAACAATCCTGTAAGTGAATTGTTTTTTAAAAGGCTGAAGCTGAGAGCTGGGCATCATAACCCAGGGCACAACAACCCAGGGCACAAAAAAGATTTCAGCTTTGCAAGCTGCAAATAAAATCCTTAGAGTGGGGAGTAGAGCGCCCTGTAAAGAACAAACTGTAGAAGCCTGGAAAGAAATAGGATCCCAAGGAGCAGGGATGTGGGGGATCTCCAGGTCTTCCTTTGCTCTCTTCCTGGGGCCTCTTCCTCTTCTTGCTGCCTCCTCCCCTGCCTTGAACATGTGCCCATGACCCACGAGGGACAGCAAAGGCTTCTTTCTGTCTGCTAGGTCATCCAGGTAAATAACAGGTATAATAATGAGTGAAAACACTTCAAAATGTTGACAGTGCTTTGGAAAAGGAGGCTTTGTGTTACCTTCAGCAAGGCAAGCATGCAGAACGTTCTGAACACAGATTTCAGCTGAGAGTGTGAGTCAGCTACAGGGAAGAGGGAAAAGAAAGAAGAGGGAGGACACAGGCTCCTCCAGTTCCCAACACTGATAGGTCTACAAGTTTGAAATCCGGATAGGACATATCTCCCTGCCTTCTCCAAATGGGTCTTTGTCAACAATTATGACTGCAGCAAGGGAAAAGCCCATTTCTAGTTTGGGCCTAGAATATTCTATAACCTTCTCAAATGATTGCACTAAGGAGCAGACTTCTAAGCAGTAAGTGTTTATTAATTTTTGTATAGATCATGTTCAATGGAGTGAAATTAAGGGAATCATCTATATTTTGTGTAGGCAGATCAATTCCATTTTACTATTTCTATTGAATATTTAATTTTGCTCCTCTTACTCTCTTCTCTGAGGCAATATCATGAGAAATAAAAGTTGGTTGTAAATAGACCTTCTCTCTCTTGCATCCATCATCTGCCGTCACAAAGGAGAGTAGTTTAACAATTAAGTAGCCAAGGATGACACCTGTGTGGTAGAGGTTCTGCATTCAGCTGCACCTGGATCCTGGGAACATAATTGGACCCACAACCTGCCCCATTGTACACCAAAGAATGTTAATAACACGCCTGCATGCATGCATGTGTGTGCACACACGATACACTTGCTACACATTTGTAAGGATCTGTTTTTTTCAGGAATTATATGTATCTACCAAAGCAGATAGATTTAATGTATTGTTATAAGTCCACCAACAACATTTTTGGTTTAAGGGCTTGTTATGCGAAAGTTTTATAAAAATTTCACTTATTTACTATTTCTGGGTTTTTTGTTTTTTGTTTGTTTGTTGTTTGTTTTTGGTTTATTGTTGTTGTTCGTTTGCTTTTTGAGACAGGGCCTGGCTCTGTCACCCCTGCTGGAGTGCAGTGGCGCTATCTGCCACTGGCCCACTGCCACTTCTGCCTCCTGGCTTTAGTGATTCTCCCGCCTCAGCCTCTGGAGAAGCTGGGACTACAGATGTGCACCACCACACCTGGCTAATTTTTTTGTACTTTTTGTACAGATGGGGTTTTGCCATTATTGTCTAGGCTGGTCTCACACTCCTGGGCTTAAGCAATCCACTCAACTCGACCTCCCAAAGTGCTGGGATTACAGGCATGAACCACTGAACCCAGTCTCACTTACCTATTTCTTAGAAACAAGCTTGTGGCTAGAATGAGGCATATGTGACTGGAAAAACATGCATGTATTACCACTAATACATATCTTAGGTGCTGTGAGTAAATTATAAAAAGTGAGAATTCTGTGATATAAGAGAGGACATTCCTCATTTTGCCCCAAAGAGCATCCTTAGAGTGTTGGTTATTAAATTTCTATGCCTTTGGGGCCTAGCAGGGAGCCTGACCCATAGTAGGTCCTCAGTAAAATTTTCTTAATAAAATCTCATGAAGAGCCTATTGTGTGCCAGCGATTGCACTGGGCAGCAGACATATTTAAAAGGATATAGCTCTAGTCTTGATCAGTCAATCTAACAAGAGAAATAGACATAATGATTTCTTGAAGTATTCAACTTTCTTTTGAAGGATGTTTAAGAGTTCAGCAGGCAGAGATGGAGTGAAAAGACAGTTCAGTGGCATAAAACGCTGTGATGTGTTCAGAAAAGACTGTGACTTGAGTGTGGCTTGGATCCCAGGTTCTAGGAGACAAGATTGAGGAGATAGATGAGAAGATAGCAAAAGGTCTTGGGTGTCATGCAAAGGAGCTCGAGTTTCATTTTCTGGGCAGTGAGGAGCCTCAAAGCTTCTTATGCAGGAGCACAGATGGATTCAATGTGTTTTGCAGAAAGCTTACCCTGGCAGCAATATGCAGTATAATTTTGGTGTAGGAAAAAAAAAAAAAAAACCTGAATCCTGAGGTCAGAGAAACTGGCTTCAATCTGAGCAAGGGAAGTTGAGATCCTGAAGTGTTCCATGTGTTTGCCCAGGACATTTGGCATCAGATGGGAAGATGTGGGAAGAAAAGCTGGAAAGAGTGGTGAAAAGAGGCAGGGTGGTGAAACTATTGAAGATGGGCAATGGGAAGAACAACCTGGAACCAACCAGGAGGGAGAGTATTTTGCTGGCATTCAATGGGATGTCTCTTTCAGTAGCTGTGGCCTTCTGGGAGCCCGGGATCATTTTCCAGGGGACCATGCCACAGATTCCGACTGTTCACATTGTAGATCTTAGCTCCGCCCCTTGACAACTGTGTGCACGTGAGCACTTTGTTGCTCTCTTTAGGCCCCAGATAGAAAAAGGTATGACACCTGAGAGGCAAAGAGAAGCGCTCCTTTACTAAGAGGTGAGTGGATACAAATGAAGCTCTAGTAGGCCTAGCTAAGGCAAGAAATAAAATGGGCCGGTGTGGTTGATTCTGATTACTACTCCTTCCTGCCCTCACTCCTAGTCAGCTTCTTTATTTTCAGGTGAAATTCATCACCCGCCTCTACACCTGGGAGCCAGCTCTGCTGGGGCTAGTTTAGAAGTGTGGTGGGAGAAGAAGAGGTCTTTTTTGAAACTCTGGTTGCACTGCAGACAGACAAGCCTCCATTTATTTTCCAGTGGAACACCATATTGTTTCCTCTCACTCTCTTCCAGCGAGAACTGTCTAGGAAAGGACGAGGACCAAATTACCAAGCCTTTGGATCTAATCCATGTGGCATCCCATCTGTGGGCCCCTGGGAGATTCAAAGTCGGCCGGTGCTGGAGGCCAATCATATTTATACCATTTCCATATGGCACCTTTTGATTGAGACTTGGCAAGCACGTAAGTTTACTTTCCTTTTTTAAAAAGCTATATTTGTTCCCAACACTGTAATGTCTACAAATGTCTTTTAATTATTATACTTGTAACAAGGATGATAAGACTGGGCAAGCTTGAATAGCATTTAGTTTGGGATCTCTTAGAATGTCAGAGCTTTTGGGAATTGTCTTCCTGGGGTGGAGCTTTCCCTGAAGGGAACGGATGACCCCATTACTGGTGAACTTGGACTATAAAAGTCACTCTTGGGGGATGAGAGAACTTTCTTCACAGTCAGGCTGGAGGTGAGTCAAGCCAAGAGGCATTAAGGGGTTCCATGGGAGGAATCAGTTTCCTGGCTATGTCAGAGCTGTAGTTGTGTATGGTGTGTGAGGGCACCATTCTCAGAGAATATGATGTGAATGGTGCCCCTTGGAATTGTACCAGCTGGGTGGCCCTGTGCCACACAGAAATATGGAATTGGCTCAGTGGGAGGACCTGGAGTATGTCTGGGCTTATGCATAAGTTGAGAGAGCCTGTAGCCATGCTTCGGTAATGTGGGAGAAAAGACCCTCACCCACATCCCCACTCCCTCCTCTACCCCTGCCAACCCCACTGCAGTCAGACTGGAAGAAGACAGAGAGCAAGACACTGGAACAAGCAGCAGGAGTGGAGCCTGGGACGCAAGGTCAGCACATAGCAAGCCCTTGCTTTGGAGCAGAGGCGGCCGGTTTCCAGGGCAGTGAGTATTTGAAGCGGTAGTTGTGACCTTCAGCTTCACTGGGGCAAGCATCACCTGTAAGCAACCAGGCATTGGGTGTGATTAATTAATACGTTTCTTTAGCATATGGGGTGAGGGAGGGACAGGGGCTAATTTGAGCAGTCAGGGACAAGGAGTCAACATCAGTGTGGAGTGGTAATGTTTGTACACCAAGCTGGTAGATAGACATCCTAGTTACATATGATTCTGTTGGTGTTGCCTACAGAGGAGAAAAAAGTGATCAAGTGGTTGTGGATTTTATGTTTGCTTATCTGTTTTTTTAAAAAAGGCTAATAATGAATTTTATCAAGATGTTGGATTCCTGCATGTTAGACATTGTAGTGGGTTGAATTTTGATCCCCAAAAAGATATGTCCTAAGTCTTAACCTCACAGTAGCTGTGAATGTGACCTTATATAGAGCCTTTGCAGATGTGTTAAGTTAAGCATCTCCAGATGAGCTCATTCTGGATTCAGTGTGGGCCCTAAATCCAATGACTGGTGGTATAAGAGAAAGGAGAGAGATACAGACCCAGAGACACACAGAGGGGAAGGCCATGAGAAGACGAGGCAGCTTTGGAGTTACGCAACCACAGTCATGGGATGCCAGAAGCCCTGGAGGAGTCAAGGAAGGATGCTCCCCTAGAACCCTGGAAGGGACGGTGGCCCTGGTGACACTTTCTGGACATCTGGTCTCCAAAACTGAGTGAGAATAAATTTCTGTTGTTTTAAGCCACCCGATTTATGATCATCTGTTCTGGCAGTCCTAGGAATGTAATACAAGCATATTTAGTGTTTGCTGATATAAAAGTGAAGATTGATTTGTTATTTCATGCCCATGTTTCTAATTCAAAGTCCTAAAAACCTGGCTGAGAGCACGTGATGGATTTAGTGTTCTAGGCAGCAATTCTCAGACTTGAGTATGCATCAGAATCACCTGGGGGGCTGATTAAACTAGATTACCGGGCCCCACCCCGCCGAGTTTCTGATTCAAAGAGTCTAGAGTAGGGTCTGATAATGTCAATTTCTGAGAAGTTCCCAGGTGATGATGCTGTTAGTTTGGGACCACACTTTGAGAACCATTGAGCTAAATTTGCAACCACCTCGAGCAAATGAGTGCTTCTAATTTTAGAAACTAAGCAGAAATTCTGGGAAAGGAATCCCTTCTGGGATAAGTGAATAATGAAAATAATAAAATTTATTTTTGTTTAATTTGCTGTGGTTTGCAGGAGTTGAAGTTATAAATGAAACAAGTAAAAATTACCCTCTTACGAGCAGTATTGCCTCTTCTCCCCATCAAACCCCTGTTTTTTCCCCCTGACTGTAGACATGTCTATACACTGGTCTGGAGCTTCGTGGGCAGCCCTTTGGAGGTCCCTGGGAAGACCCTGGATCCATGCAGTAGTCTCACACTTTCTTAGAATTGCAGGATTATTTCTTACTACACTGCACCCCTCTTGTATACCACTTCACATCACCTTGGCCCTACCTCTTACTGCACCTGCTAATATGCCCCTGAGGTCAACCCAGCCTTCAGTTTCATGTAGGTGCAGCCTGACAATGCATTCTCTTGGGTCTTGGCCCGGGGCTGCTTGCCTCTTGCTTCCTGTCCTGGGTCAGCTCTGACTCCTTGCACACTCAAGCCAAAGCATGGAATGCCCATGAGGCCATTCCTACCAGTAGGGAACTGAGCTGATACACCTTCAATTCCTGGATGAATTGTTCTGGATTCTCAGCTATATGCTTCTCAAAATGTTCTATGGGGTTATTTATTGCCCATCGATGTGTCCAACTAGGTAACAACTCTTAGTATACCTAGTCTTTTCTTCTTCCCTGTGAAGCTCATCCCCATCCCCATCCCCGACTCCTCCTCCCCAGAATCACTTCCCAAATAAACCTACTGGCACTCAAGCCTTTGTCTCATGCTCTGCTTCTTAGAGAACTCAGGGACACTGAATACACTGAGCTGCACCCAGTTCTTCCTTTCCCACTTTTGGGAGATTGGTGCAAATCTGAAGATTCAAGGTGCCTATGTGCATATGAAATTTGGAGTATCTACTGAAGGGAATGCTGGCGTGTGTTGGCTTCTATCTGACCCTAAGAAATGAAATTACCCATAAGTGATCCATGGAAGCGGGCAACAGGAGCTGAAATATACCCCCATCTGCCACCTGTCCTGGAGAAAGACCTTGGATTTCACTGTTTTTTATCAGAGGGAAGCTCCTTACTCACTTAGGCAGATATCAAAAAGGTTTGGAGCTTATCTGTGCTCACAGGTAGCTAGCTATATCCCAAAAGTACATCCTACAGCGTCTTTTTGTTTAAGAGGCAGATATTTACACAACACAGCTCAGGGTCTTTCTGGTTGACAGTGATGGCGACATCATCTGCACCTGGCTTTGCCCTATGCAGGAGAAGCCATGTAACTGCTTTGGTTTTATTAGCCTGTGAAACATCTAGAACTGTAAGCTCTATAAGCTAGTCCAGAGGTTCCCCAAAACTGCCCTATGGGAATAGATATTTCTCAAAAGAAGGCATACAAATGGCAAACAGGTATACAACAAGGCACTCAACATCACTGATCATCAGAGAAATATAAATCAAAACTACAATGAGATATCATCTCACCCCCATTAAAATGACTTTTATTCAAAAGTCAGGTAATAAAAAATGCTGATGAAAATGTGAAGAAACATGAACCCTCGTACACTGTTGGTGGGAATGTAAAGTGATACAATCACCATGGAGAACAGTTTGGAGGTTCCTCAAAATCAAAAACAGAGCTGCCATGTGATTCGGCATTCCTGCTGCTGGGTATATGCCCAAAAGAAAGAAAATCAGCATATCAAGGAGCTATATGCACTCCCATGTTTATTGCGGCACTGTTCACTATAGCCAAGAATTGAAAGCAACTGAAGTGTCCAACAGATAAATGGATAAAGAAAATGTGGTACATATACACAACAGAGCATGATTCAGCCATAAAAAAATGAGACTGTCATTTGTAACAACATGGATGGAACTGGAGGTCATTATATTATGTGAAATAATCCAGGTAAGGAAAGACAAACATCACATATTCTCACTTATTTGTGGGATCTAAAAATGGAAGCAATTAAATTCATGGAGATAGAGAATAGAAAGTTGGTTACCAGAGGCTGGGGAGGGAGGTGGGGATGGTTAATGGGTGCAAAAAAAAAAAAAAAAAAAAAAAAATAGACTGAATAAGACCTAGTATTTGATAGCACAACAGGGGGACTATAGTCAATAATAATTTAATTGTATATTATAAAATAAAAGTACAATTGGATTGTTTGTTACACAAAAGATAAATGCTTGAGGATGGGTACCCCATTCTCTATGATGTGATTATTTTACATTGCATACCTGTACTAAAATGTCTTCTGTACTCCATAAATATATATACCTACTATGTACCCACAAAAATCAAAAATTAAAAAAAATTGTTTAACTGCTCTGTGGACTGACTACTTTAAAATCAGAGGGCTTTTTGTCTTTTTTAAAAAAATTGTGGTCAAATATACATAACATAAAATTTACCATTTTAACCATTATTAAGTGTGCCTGCCATTTAGTGGCATTAAGTACTTTCACATTGTTGTATCACCACTGTCTATTTCCAAACCTATTTCTCACCCCAACAGAAGCTCTGTAACCATTAAGCAATAACTCCCTATTCCCCACCCCGGCCCCTGATGACCTCTAATCCATTTTCTGTTGCCTTTTCTAGATACTGCATATAAGTGAAATCATATAGTAGTTGTCCTTTTGTGTCTTTGTTTCATTTAACAGAGTGTCTGCAAGGTTCATCTATGTCATAGCACATATCAGAACTTCATTCCTTTTTATGTCTGAATCATTCTCCATTGTATGGCTATATCACCAGATTGGTTATCTATATTCATCTATTGATGGAATCGGGGTTTTTTTCCCCTTTTGGGTGTGTGAATAATGCTGCTACAAACATGGATGTGCAAATATGTTTGAATCTTCGCTTTCAATACCTTTGGGTATATACCTAGAAATGGAATGGCTGAAACATTTGGTAATTCTATGTTTCACTTTTGTGGAACTACCACACAGCTTCCACAGCAGCAATACCATTTTGCATGTCTATCAGCAATGCACAAAGGTTTCAATTTCTCCACATCCTCACCAATATTTGTGGTTTTCCCTTTAAAAAAAAAAAATAACCATCTTAATGGCTTCTCCCACCTAATGGTAGTGAACTGGTATCTTACCGTGGTTTTGATTTGCCTGATGACTAACTTGGAAGCTTTTAAACAAATGCACATTTCTGAACTCTACCTCTGGAAATTTGGCTTGGCTCTGAGGTTGGCACTATGGAGCTGGCTGGTATGGCCTCCCACCCAGGACAAAAATCTCTCTTTATAATTTCCCAAACTGCTAATCTGGTCTCTGCATACCTCTAATAATATTGGAACTTGGGGTTTTCTCAGGAAGCCCATTCTATCTTTACACAGTTTTAGTTATTTGTGTTCTAATCAGAACTTGTGTAATTTATAGCCACTGATACAGTCTTGTGTGGCATGTTTCATGTCTTAAGGGTTCCATTTCCTCACCTCTACTTCAGCCCCTTCAGCCTATATCTGTTCCTCCTCAAGCTTTCTCAGCCATTCCCATAGCAAGACTGCATCTGGCGAGCTTCCTCTATACTCCCATAGCATCTTAAGCTTTCTCCATCATGGTGTTTCCACGTGTGTCGTAATTTCCTGTTTACTTCTCTGCCTCCCCTATGACACTGTGAGCTCCTTGAAAGCTCACAGCTGTCTACGACACTGTTCACTGACGTTTCCTCACTGCCCAGTACATAAAGTGGGCCCTCAACAAATGGTGGTTGATGCATTTGTTGAAAAACACAAGTTCTGCACTAAATACATAAGAAAACACGTTGGATATTCTTCAGTATGTAATAAATTATACTGTTAACATTAGGAGCTCCTCAATCAGCAAGAAAGAAAGAGCATTTACTAAAGCACAGTTTTCAAATTGGATGATAGAATCCTCAACCATTAAGAAATTGCATCTGTAAGCAGAGGGAGCTGAAAAGGCTGCCTACATCCTTTCTCTCTCCACTCTTCTCTGCAACAGACTTCTTGCGAGCACATACAATATTTGTTCAACCTGGGCTTTCTGTGTACTAAAGAAAAAGTACCTTAGGGTGTATTTAAAGAACCACAGAGTTACATTTTTACTTGTGCATTTTACCTACAGCATTGGAAAAAGTAATTTTGCCTCAATTAGAGTAGGTCTTTTCAACTGCTGACATATGTTTACAGAGCATCTGGATATAATCTGATTAGCATCTGGTGTAAGTCTGTGAGATACTATCTATCTCCTGAGGTCTCCCTTGGAGAAGGAAAGGCATAAACGTGCACTCAGCTGGACCATCCCAGTGTTGACATCTGCTGTTGGGTCACACATCTGGGCCTCCCATCCTCCATCACTTTGCCAAAGTTCATCTGGACAAAGAGTATCACCCCCACACTCTCAAGGTCCCACTTTAATTGGAGCAGAAAACCAGCATCAGCACTCTGGCCAGTGAGAAAATCTTAACATTCTTCTCTCTTCTTTTCCCCTGCATATGTTAGAGCCAGCATGGAATGAATCACACACATCTAGAGAAGGAAAAGTATCAATAATTGATATGCCTCTCCCTGCTCAAGCTGCAAACATTGCCAGCTCTTTAGTTTATGTATTCTCCATTCACCTTCAGTTTGCATCCTCAGATAAAGTTACATGATAACATCTCTTGAGAATTCCCTTCCCATT